CTCTGCCGATTCATAGGGCTTCCTTTAACATACTTATTCACCCTGCATTTCCCCGAGACGAGGCGGCTACGAGTGGTGTATCCTTCGCCTCTGGTTTTGTCAGGCAGGTTCAAACAGCAGGGTTATGAAGTTAACGCTACGCAATTGACTCCACGAGTTCGAGTGGGTGGGTTCACAGACTGCTGGACCCTGCTGGGCTGCTAATTGCTATAGTACTTGAATAGTGAACCTGCAGGCAATTGTAGTCATGCATGCAGGGCAGGAGAGTTGTTGCTAACCAAGCTCTGGGGCAGAAAAGCATAAACACCCTTTAAGAAAAGTAATTGAGCGGATGAATTGTCTCTAGCATTTAAGGAAAGGTTTGCTTTTCATAATTTTTAAGGTATAAAGGACAATTATGGTCATCTAGTTTGACCTCCCACGTAACACAGGGCAGAGAATTTCACCAACAATTCCTGCCTAACTTCAGGTTTAGCTATTGTGTATTATTTAGAAAGACTCCACCCATAGCCTTGAATAAGCAGTTCTGGTGGTTAATGGCCCTCCCTGTTTTAAAACAAATATTGTGCGTTATTTCTAGTCTGCATTTGTCTAGCTTCAGCTTTCAGTAATTGGATCTTACGCCTTGGTCTGCTAGATTAAAGAACCCTCTGGTCTCAGAAATCTCCTTAGGTAGGTTATTATTTATATTCAAACAAACAGACAAAAGCTTTTGAAAGCTGTGTTGGTGTTTATGAAACAAATAGTGACATTGGTGTTTTCTGTGGTGGTTTTGGGGAGGCTTGTGCTTCCCAAAGACTAGGTGAAATTCTCTTGGACGTAACTGGCGTCTGCAGAAAGGCACCATTTGAGTGGGACAGAAAGGTAGGTTTTTTGCAGATGTCCCTCTAGGCACATCATTTTAACAGGAGAGACTCTAAGGCGGCCACCAGGGGCTCTTCTTGCTGCCATAGCCTCCTGGGCAGTGATTGGGGGGGGACACAAAGCAATGGCCCCCTCCTGGGGCTGCCAGCAGGGGTTGGGCCCTGTCCCTCTCTGGAGCCACAAACACCAGAGGAGCAGGCAGCTCCTTCCCATGGGCAGTGGGGCTTGGGTTTCCGGCTTCCGCCCTGGGGCGGCAGGTTCTGGCTGCCGGTCTCCATCCCCCGGCTGCAGGCTAACCAACCCCCCATTGTCTCTGGACTCCACCGCTTCCCTCAGCCCTCCATCACCCCTGCGCCCCGCTGCCTCCTTACCCACCTCTCTATCCAGGGCTTAATTTGTCGCCCAGCTTGTGCCGGAGCTGAGTAAGACTGCTGTGGAAAGTGATATTTGTATGTTTGTTAATATCACTTTTCACTGTCTCCCAGGTAGATAGTAAGTCTGCCATTTAAAGTGATATTAACAAGCATACAAATATCACTTTTCACAGCACTAGACTTACTAGCTAGCAAGTCTAAAAAAAAGAATCAAAAAAGCCAAAGAAACAACAAAAAAGACAAGATCATGCAAAGCACCTTATTTTGTTTCTATTCTGTCCGGTAAAGACTAGAGACAATTGCACATTATTTTTATGATTGAGTCAGCAAAAAACACTACTTAAATTTCTGTGCATATTTGTTTTTCCTACGGCACTCTAAGGCCACCAAAATTTTTCTTGTGAGAACCCCTGCTCTAAGGGATGTTCTGCGTGATGCCTCTGTTTCTGTAGGAAATTGACCACAGAGAATTTTGTGTTTCAAGTGGCCAGATACCTGTCCTAAAACTTAATGCCAACCTGCATTGTGTATGTCTGGGGCTCTAGCATTTTGACTACAGTTGCAGTCAATGGAGATTGGGGGTTATGGAATTTGAAGGCCCTAAATCAGTGGTTCTCAGCCTTTCCAGACTGCTGTACCCCTTTCAGGAGTCTGATTTGTTTTGCGTACCCCCAAGTGTCACCTCACTTAAAAACTATTTGCTCAAAAAATCAGACAAAGATCTAGTTGCTCCCCAAAAGTGTCAGAGCACACTATTGCTGAAAAATTGCTTTCTCATTTTTACCATACAATTATAAAATAAATCAATTGGAATATAAATATTGTACTTACATTTCAGTGTATAGTATATTGAGCAGTATAAACAAGTCATTGTCTGTATGAAATTTTAGTTTGTACTGACTTCGCTTGTGCTTTTTATGTAGCCTATTGTAAAACTTGGCAAATATCTAGATGAGTTGATGTACCCCCTGGAAGACCTCTGCATACCCCAGGGGTATGCGTGCCCCTGGTTGAGAACCACTGCCCTGAGTATTGCGAAGGTTGAAGAGGTTTTGCTGTTAACATCACAGGGCAAAAGGAACCCTGTAAAGGGATTTTATTGCTGTTCATAAGTTAAATAATGTTAGATACAGAAAGCTGTAAAAATTGGGGCATTTATTTCCTAATATCCCTCTCTCCTTGTAGCAAAACAATAGCTCTAATTTGGGTACTGCGAAAAGAGGTATTTTGAAAATGTGTCGGATACTAAAACATGCACACTATAGATGTAATCAGTGCATGAAACATACTGTTCAAAGGATCGGGGAAGCACTGACAAATATTATTGCCCCCCTTTAGAAAATCACAGCCTTTTCCTTCCTTTTGCGTCTCGTCCTTGCTAATGCCCCTAGGTACTAGCTAGCAATTGTGTTCTCTTCCTCCTGCTCCTCCTCAATTCAGTCAGTGATACTGCAGCCTCGAGTTTGGGAAGTCACAAGCACAGGCAGGGTAACGTTTTCCAAAGTGCCTCCAGCCCTTTGGAACCTACATCCCTTGGAAAGTCAAGGGGACTTAGATTTCTAATTGTCTAAGTCACTTTTGAAAGGGGCAGCTTGGCTCCCAAGCCACTAAAGACACTTTGGAAAACTTTAGCCAAAATGAGGACAAGATGAGTGGGCAGCTAGAAAGGGAAGGTTGCCTGAACGTAGGGAAGGAGAAGATGTGGCTCTCTTTTAGGATTTTGGGAGCAAATTCTGTTTCAGAAGCTGAGGCAGGGACTGTTCCCATATTATGTGTTTGTATAGCTGCTAGCACAATAAATCAATCTTGGGGTGCAGTGGGTAGTGCGCTGGTGGGCCGTGTCACTGTCTGGATTAAAAGGGTAATTGGAGGATAGCCTTTTTTAAACTGCCCAGTCTCCTTTCAGTGAGGCTGGTGCACAGAGAAAATAACCCATAAAAGGTCACAGCAACTGTATATTAAATTGGCTCTTGTTCCTACAGAAGTTTCCATCTTAGGCATTGCTATGGATAGAACAAAATTAGATCTGTTTTACAACCTTAAATATTTAATACATAATTTCAGAGCATGTAGTCTAATATTAAAGAGATGGCTCTATGAATACTTCGTAATTATAGATGCTGTCACGTATCATGAAATCTGTTTGATCGCATCTCGGAGAAATATTTGGGTTTTCTAGATGGAGGAAATTGGGGGTGGGGACAGGGACTCATTTGTAACTGGTGGAGATAACAGTGAAAACAACTAGAAAAAAAAGTGTCTCTGACCAGTTTCGGTTCTTAAAAGGCAGTTTGGAAGAGTTTCCTTCCCTGTCAGGAAATAACAGAATGGTTCCCATCTCCCTCCCTCGGGAGAAAATAGCACAGTGTAGGAACAGCTGCTTAGTCAGCAAATATTCCCAAACTCTTCAATGTGGGATTATCGCTGTTAGACCAGTGGGAGCCCTCTGAGCTCTGGGATCCTCCTCCAGCATCCTGGCAGCTCAGGTCCGGGGGGGACATTTTACTACCATTGAAAAATTTGGAATTAGCAGCATTTTGGCCCTTATTTCCCCCCCTTTTGGTAAGTCTTCACTGCTGATCTTCCGGTGCCTCCTGGGAGTTCTGCTGCAATCCAAGGATACTTAGGATGTAGGCGGGCAGCACAGCAGGAATGTTCTACCTGGCTGTTCCTAGGAGATTAGGCAGAAAACCCCACGAACACTTGGAGTGTTTGGCAGAGAAGGGATGATCCAGTAGGTAAGACATGAGGACCTGGGTTCAGTTCCATCCTCTTCCAGACTTCCTAGGTGACCTTGAGCAAGACACTTAACCTCTCTGAGCCTCAGTTTCCCATCTGTAAAAGGGGGTGGGAGGTAATAGCATTGCCCTACTTCACAGAGGAGCGTGAGGATAAATACGTTAAAGATGGAGATGCTCAAATACTATGGTGATGGGGGTCATAGAAGTACCCAAGAGAGACAGGGAGAAGATTCATTTTAACCCTCCACATGCTGCACAAGTGGTGCATTCTGAGTGTTCCTGGTGCACCTGCCAGCAATGCACATGCATACTCTGTGATAAGAATAAAGCACTGGCAGAATTAACGTGTTCTGTATAGCTTCAGAAATGACTGATTTATATCTGAGCCCTGGTCTACACTACAGTTAGGTCAACGTAAGGCAGCTTACATTGACTGGGACAGAGAACAGGGCGGTTGAGCAGAAGTTGCACAGCCTGGTGGATTAGATCTAACCCCGAGAGCTGCTGTCAGGCCCAACAAGTCTTTCAGCTCCAGTGATTGAAAGAAGACTTTTTTTTTTTTTTTTAACTAACCTTTATCAGTGGTGGCTGTTTACATTTATGTTGTCAGTCAAAAGGACACCAAGCAACCGCTACTGCACAAACAGCCTTGTTCCCTGCTTAGGGAAACAATTGCCACATATCTGAATGCCTTTGGAGGGTTGCCAGGTTCTTGTCAATTAGTATCAGCGGCATTACTTTGTGTGTTCCAGTGGCTGTCAGAATTACCAGCGGACGCTACCGTGAAAGAGCTGGGAGCCCCAGCCCTGTGTTTGCGGTGCAGCTGCTAATGCACACTAGCTTCCTATCTCTTTAGAGACTGAGCACTCAGAAAGAAATAACAGAGGCACGGACAGCATGAACCATGACAATTCAATGCAAGGACGGTAGATTTTAGGGAGTGTTCTTTTGGCTAATTGATGCTCTAACACCTCCATGGTGGTGGTTTATACTTGACATTTTCCCCTCCCCTTCCATCCAGGGTGAATCAACTGATGATGCCACCAGCCTCTGTGAAAGTCTGAGACGGTGAGTGACCAAAACCAACACAAAATGTTTTTCTTAATGACAATGGTGACTTGCGTGTGTGCTGGGCGTTGGAGAAGAAATTCCAGTTCCCGACACTGCAGGTTGGCAGAGGGATTGCACTGTGTACTAGGAGGTTTCCCTAGGGAACAAGGGTGAGCAACATGATAGAGTGCAATGTAGCTGACTTTGGGTTCTGATAATTACAGCAAAACATCCCCAGCTGCAAACTCTCCCCATTTTACTCTATTTGCCCACCCCCAAGGCCCTACCTTACAGCCTCCTCGGAGCAAATTCCACCCAATCCTTCAGAGCAAAGCCACATGAGATCTACCTCCAGCCTTGCTTACCCATAAGAGCAAAAACCCAGTGCATCAGATCTCTGTGACTCTTGCAATAAAATCACTACTTTAGGCCAAAAATTGCAAGGGACTGAGGCATCTGAGAGGCCTGCGCAACCCCTTGTGTTTTGCATGGCCTGAGATGTAGTTTGAGAAGTAGATTTGTTGCCTTGATTAAAATAAATAAACATGGAGAGGAAAGGGCCTATAAAATTTGTCTCAGCCCCCACCCACCTTCTGAAAAAGCACCACTTAACACCTCCTTCATTTTCTGGTCTGGTGGAGAGTGGGGGGCTCTAGGTCATAACACTTCCCAATTTTGCAGCAGCCTTGAAAGATACTGCAGCCCCTGACTATCCTGCAGCCCCATCCAAATAAGGAGCATCACATGAACGCTGAGACCAATGTCAAGCCAGCTGCTCTTGGCTTGGTCTACTCTTAAAATTTATCCTGGCATGCTGTGTCAGTCAGGGGTATGAAAAAAACCACACCCCAGTACACTCTCCACTCGAGTGTAGCTAGACATAGCCCGTCACTGGCCTGGCTGATTTCCAGGAACACCATGACCATTTCTCTAAACAGAGTAGGGCCCATGTGCATAATCAACCCCTACTGACTTCAGTGGAAGCCAGATACCCTCATCTAAGGTCAGTATTTGGCCCCTCCTGAAATTCTTTTGCATATATTAAATCTGCTATGGCATTGCCATGTGACTATCCAAAAATGTATTTCAGAGCTAAGACCTTTCACTGAAAAATGCTTTCTGACAGTGCAAGACCTTGCTCGGTCATTTTCTCCTGCCTCTTCCGTGTCCCTCCCCCCTTAATACTGGGTGACAGTTCTGAGACATTGGCCTTAGACCACAACCAGCCCGTCCTCCCAGCTCAGGCTGTTTTTATCGCTAGCCGCCAGTCACACAACTCCAGCTTGGAGCAAAGGATAAACTCTTCCTGGGTTTTGACTGGGGCCAAAATTAATTAAGCAAGTTTAACAAAAGAGGAGATTTTTCTTTCCCATAAACTAAGTGCACTAGGAGAATCATCATGAAATAGCACAATTAAGAATGGCCTTTTTTGGGGACTGATGTAATACAATCTTGACTGCAGCAGATGCGTTGCTTCTATGGGCGGACATAGATCACGGCAGAATCTAAGCATTTAATAGGCAAGCTCATACTTTTCATGCACTGGGCTGGGAGTTTAACACCAACTTCATGCCATTTAATAGCAGCTTTTTTACATGGTTAAAGAATCATCAAAGACTGATTGCAAGACTTAGTTTTAATGGCATTAACATGTTTCCCATTAGAGCAGTTAGAAATGGAAGGGTCATGTAAAAATAGTATTTCCCTACTCAACAGGGAATTCAGTATCAAAACTGCTGGTGCCCCTTGCTTAAAATAAATGTATGTTGCCTTTTACTCCCTTGACCCCTGCAGTGCGAAGAGAGGTAGTTGGGTTCTATTTCATCTTCATTAGTGGCAGAATTGCTGTTTCTAATTGCAGAATCATCCCCAGCTTAACCCTCAGATTGCAGGAGAGGCAATTTGAAAAGTAACTTAAAAACAAGCCTAGAACCTCATTGTTCAGTCATTTTCCCATCAAATCTGCTCCATTAATAAATACACAGATAGTGTGTTTCTTTCTACGTTTTTCCTTTTCTTCCTAATTTTAGTGTAATTTTTCCAGTACTCCATGTCACCTAGTAAAATTTAGTGTTTAGTCTTTGAGCAATTTAAGACACACGTAAGCGCTTGTAGCTCTAATCTGAATAGGCATAGTCATTAGAAAAACCTCAAGCTACGGTCAAGCATCTTTCTTGGATGTCCTGTGATACAGATAATGGGCTGATTTCAGAGGGAATGTCGAATGTGCCACTGGGGTAAATCTGGTTGTGTTTGCAGAAGGGTTAAGTGTACCTACACTGCCCCTCCCTTGTTTTTCCTACTGCCTATTCTTCATGTACTTAGCAATGGTGTGGGTTACACAGCAGTAAATTACCAATGAACTTGGCTATGACAGATCTGGTCTACACGGCAGTATAACTATTTTGGAAAGGGGAGTGATTTTTTTTTTAACCTCTCTAGTTATACCAGTACAAGCCCTAACATAGCACCTTACACTGGTACAACATTTCCCCCTTCCCCTGTGGGAACAGACTACACCAGTAGAACTGCACCCCGCAGTAGGCTGGTTGTACTGCTTTAACTATACTGGCATAATTAAAGCGGTACAACTTGCACATAGATGAGGCCTCATCTGTTTGGATCGGCCTCTTGAGTGAAGACTAGGGCTTGTTTTCCAAGCTCACGGGAAGAACAGAACCAGCGCCTGTCTTCATAGATCCATACACAGCCCCTGTCACACTAATGACTTCTCCCCTTTTATTCACAGTTGACATTATGGATGATGAAGGAAACGCTGTGTGGACTCCAGCTCCCACAACCACCACTCCAACCTCCTGCTAGGAAACCCCAGTACTGGACATAAGCAAAAGTTCCAGCTCCGGGATGCATTTGGAGTCTTATCGAGTGCTAAACTAATCACTTCACTCTAACCAGCTGCAGGGTCAGGGTCAAAGAAATGAATGGGGATGGCCTAGATATCAGGGCTCCTAAGCCTAAGGATATTGTAGGGTTTCCCCACATTGCTGAGTGTCCGAAGAGCCCACAACCACACTACCCTTGTGCGTGACTGTACAGTGTGCATACAGTTTTAGGTTTAGCCAGTGAAGAAGTCTACGTTGCATACAGGGCAACTTCTGTCCTATTAAATGCTGCCAGTTCTGTCAGCCAGAGACTATGCTAGCTGGGGACTTTTTCTGTACATCACAGCTTTACAAATTGAAGGCTCAACCCAGATTTCTTTAATTATTATTTAAACAAGTCAGAGGATGCTTTATCTTCATGAAAGACATAAAATAGAGATTTGATAGAGTTGTATTTAAACTTTGAGCATCTCGAAAGGCCCATGCACCTGTATTGGATGCGAAAGCTTCCACGGTGTTGCCGCATCTATCCCCAAGAGGGCTCCAAGGGACCATTCAGAAAGTATGGCACAGACCTTCAAGCAACGGCATCCTGCTTAAGGGAGTACCGGAGGAGCTGGGAGGAGGAGAAATTTCTCCCTGCACAAGGTGTTCTTTGGGATTGTTACAGAAGAGCCAGGAAAACTACGGTCAGTGATATCTGGTGGCTTCCAGTTTTGTTTAACACACAGTTTCAGTTCCAGGTAGAAGGAGGTTTGCAGAATACCAAAATCCAGAGATTAATTGCTTGATGTGGAGTCTGGTATTGCTGTCTTGATGTGCCAGTAATGGTCCGTCTTTGTTTACATGCATATAATGTTCATCATTAGGCATGTTGCAAATACTCATAATTTTTTCCAGTATTTTCAGGCACATTTATGATGTTATAAAGCTTTGTTTCTGCCCAGCAACTGCATTTATAGAAGGGTTTTTAGATTCAATGCACACCCCATTTCCCCTCCCCACCGTCCTACTGTTCTGGTTTGCTCCCTCCTACAGGAGTGACTATATTACTTAAGTTCAATTTGATCTTTACAGAAATGCGACTGGGATTTTCTTTTTAATACACTAGTCTACTGGTCTAAACTGAGTTAGTAAGAAGTGAGCCTCTCTTAGCTGATTTTGTTTCTAATCAGTCAGATAATTTTTGTTTAACCAAGGGGTCTTGTTTCTTGCGGTTGACATTCAAGTATAAAATTTATACTATGCCAGCATGGAACATATTACAACTGAGAGCAATGAAGTGCTAACAGCACCAGAAAAATGATATCAGATTGCCAAATCACCACCTTTTTCTGTTTTTTTCCCCAAACTGTTAGGGCTTATACTTTTCTCTGAATTTACCTACATATCACTGTAAAATGTATGTAGGCCTCAGACCTTTTCAGCCAGCCCAGCAGAACGCTCTTCCTTTCAAACTCTGGCCAGGGCTGGATTGGAAACAATACTAAATTAGCAAAGGCATTACCAACCCTGGGATGGTTTTAATCATCTCAAAAACACTGATTAGTTTAGCCAGTTAATCAGTGGCTCCAATGACAGCATAATGTCTCCATCCTTTCAAGCATCACTGCAGTGACTGCATATCTGACACCTGCATTAAGTAATCAGAGTCCACCCCAATTTAAAATGCTTCAGGTCTTTTTACTTCCACACTCTACATTGAAGGAAGGCAGCTGTGCTCTGCAGTGAAAACACACAAGAGGGCAGATACTTCCAGTTACCAGCAGCCTGGACAAAAACAGCCACATTAACAATATTTCTTTTAAAAACCAGAGATAGCTGTTGTTAATCCCCTTGGAATTAATGAGACCAGCTCTTAACTGTAGTTGGGGCTAGGAGGTGGTTTATCTGGGATAACCTACCAAAGGAATGAGAGCAGTACAAGCCCTTCACGCTGGCTAACAGTAACGCTAGAGAAACTAGCATGGCCTTGGTTACCTTAAATGGATAGGTGAGTGACCCTACATGTGTGCTAAAACAAATCTCACGAGACTTTTTTTAATTTCTTCTAAACTGTGCCAATAAGGTTTAAATGGCTGTTATGGACGTGCCCTATAGAATTCTCTAGCAAAACCTATTTGTTTCCTCCCTATGAATTCTATAGGATGCATCTGCAAAGGCTACTTTTCACTAAAATACTCTTAAATGGTGGGTTTTTTTTTTTTTAAAGTATTTCTTATAGGCTGAGCAAACAATTGGAGACAGAAGCCCCACTCCTGGCCCATCCCCAGGAGAGCGGCGAATGCGCTTGTGCGCCACTAAAATAATAACCAAAGCAAGTTCAAAACAATGCTTCATTTCCCATCTTGGACTGTTATTAACATTGCTCGGGGAAAATGTCAACTCTGCAGTCTGGCAGCCAATGGCCTGAGTTAGAGCACATGAATTTTTGTGCTTCTCATTAAGATGTTCCCTGTTAATTTATGTAAAACATAAACAACAATTAGTCACTTGATCTCAGAGGCCAAGGGAAAATTAGCTGAATTTCCTAAATTATTATTTCAAGTGCTTTGTCTTAAAAGTTACAGCACTTACCCTCAAGAGCAGGACTTCGGTGTTTACTGAGATTTTATTCCCATCAATTTGCAATGGAAAGAGAGCCAATAAATACACCTTCATCTCCTTGGTAGGAAGGGCTGACCTCACTTCCTATGAAACAAGGCCCAGTTCAGCCACGCTGTAAGCAAATGGAGAATTAGTTCCAGTCCCCCACACACCAATGATCCTTCACTGATTGAATTCTTCTCCATTTGGAGGAGGAGAGACCTGGCACCAAGGAGGTAGAGTAGCGAGCCATGAGAACTAAGGGAGGGGAAGGAGCAGGGAATTTGGAACCCCCATCCTGAGGCTGCCACTTCCCCGTTACAGACCGTGATCCATGTTCAGCCACCTGAAGAGATGAAGGTATTTTTTGAATTGTAGCTACATATTTCTATTCCGGGACGGAATTTTTCAAGCGTTGTTCTATTAGAGCTTCTATTAAATATTTATTCTCTTAGAAAGAAACCAGATAATTGGGATAAAGGGGGCAAGGCAATAACAAAGCTCTAAGTCAAGTCAAGCTGTCCAACCACTCTCAGAAGAGAGGTTTGAAAAACACTAAAGAGGAGGCGGCCGGGTACAACCTACCTTCTGCTGTAACATTCTGGGTGTCTGCTAGTACCCGCTCCCTCTTGTGAGGCTGCATATTCCTGTCGACAGGAAAAGTGGGGGTCCAGGCCCAGCTCTGCCACTTGGACTGCAGGCAAGTCACTACCTCTCTGCTTGTTTCTTCAGCTGTAAAATGGAGAGACTGGACCTATGAGGCACTGTATCAATGAAGTATGCTCTTCCCTACCCTCTCTCAAACATCCAATTCCAGTATTCTGGTGCAGTGTGCCACTGGTGTTACTCTGCAGTTCTAGACTTGTCCTCTCCCACCCGCAGAGTTTACTAGGGCAGGGTCTCTAGGTGTTAGTTTTGACAAAGCGATTATGAGTTTTCCCCACAGAAGTGCTTCAGGAAAAGTCATAGAAACAGAGAATGTGGTGAATGGCATTTTGCACCACAATCCAGATTGTTTAATGGGATCTTGTCACTTAACAGCTAGAACTGTGGGCTTATTATTTAACACACACAGCAAAAGTTTAGCGGTGCCTTGTGTGTATCTGCAGTTGCTGGCGTAATGGGGAGAGGGAAGATATGAAGGTAGAATTAGAGTGAAGCTGGTGGAAGGAGAGACCCTTTCATTTCTGTACAGAGAACTAGCTCAATGTACCAGTCTGAAATCTGCACCAGCTCTGCAGAGAGGTGGGATTTTATGAAATCACTTCCAGAGTGAAGAGAAAGCTTTAGCATAAGCAACTTAGGCCACAAAATGTAAGATTGTAGAGCTATCAACTCCACTTGAAAACACACCCCGGTGTAATTGTTAGAGGGGCCCCAATTAAAGATCTACCTTAAGGGACTTCATATATTAGCAAGGCTTGGGTTGACTATTTGTAAGCAAAATATGGTTCAGTGCATTAGACTTAAGTCTTTACAGATGCTCCCAGGACCCATTTAAATTAAAGCCACTGTCCTCTTACTCTCCCCGCCCCCCCCAAAACAAACTGCATTGTTAACTAGGACATAGTCTAGTAAACCCTCCTGTCCCACCTTAGAGAAGGGAAAACAATCAGAACGGAAGGTGGGGGTCGGGGGCCTGGCTAACTCTCTCCCTCCTTCCTGTATGCACACAGCACCTGAGGCGAGGTGGTCAATGCTACTGGCAAGCATACACTGTACCTTTTGTCCAGGTGTAGCCTGCTGCAAGATCCCTGCTCCCTTAGTGCAATTGTCTGTGGTTACCCTGGCATATTAAGTGTAATGCGCTCTGCATGAACGGGTGGGTAGAGTTTACAGAGAGCTGGGGAGGCTGCAGGGTGCCTTCAGCAAAACCAGATGGTTACAGCAGATTGCAAGAGCTTGCTTATACTTCACTTCATCTTAAAAGCATTTTACCTTGTGCCAGTGCAACCTCCACGGGAGCTTTTGCACAGCAGGAGGCAAAAGAGAGGGCAGTGGGGACAAGGCAGCAACTAGACACTTGTTAACACTGCAACCACACCAAATAAGTATTCACATTCTGTAGCCTTTACTCACAGAGCTGGGTTTGGTAAAAGCTACAGGACTGCTTACCTGAGTGAAGCTTGAAGTACGGGGCCAGCATCCTCTAATCTCAGTCGAACCTCAGGGTGAGACAAACTAGTGATGGAGACATAAATAAACTCTATGTAGACTGGAACACTAAGGTTGTCTCACTTTCCCCCACACCCTAGTTATTTGGTTTCTTCTCTATTTGCTTTATTGTTTTGTAAACCAGCACTTGCAATCACTTTTACTATGTGATGTATGGGAGTATATCGTAGGTTTTCTTGTTATACAAGGCAGGAGTATAAAATAGTTTTCTGATTTCTTTCAGAAGCAAATGGCTATTTTATTTTTTAAGAGCAACCGATTGTCAATCTCAGAGTATAAAGAGAAATAAAGCCAAATCTATACCTTTATGTAAATTAAGAAATAAAAGTATTTAAAACATACCTCCCGGCTCCTCGTCTGTGTCGTGGCTTCGGCCTGCAGGCTCGGACTCGGGCACTGCTGGCGGTGCCATTGCAGTATGCTGGGGTGCAATTCCCAGAGAGATGGTTACTCAGGGCTGCCTGAGATTGAAAGCAGAGCTGGATAGGAGCGCTCCAACAGTGTTTGCAGCAGCTCCCAATGGGAGAAGCTCTGGCTGGAGTAGCATCAACCTTTTCTTAAATGGCTGAAAGGAAACCCAGCGGGGAGGAGAGCAAGGTGGACAAGAGAGCTCAGGTGATGAGTAAGGGGCTACAGAGCCTCTTCAGGCTGCTGGTTTGAATCCAAACCAGGCTGGTGTAAACAGCGTTCGGCGGTGACCCATACGAAATCAGTGCTCTCAGTGGAGTCCCAGAGACCAGGCACTCACCTGCCTCACAGAAGTGCCACTTCAGGCAGCCTCTGCAGAGGGCCCCAGGTTCAAAGGAGCCTGGGAGACTGAACTGCCCATGGGACCAGAGCTGGGGTAGGTGCAGAAGAATCCCGCTGGTGGATCTGTTCTGTGGATAAAGGACTTACATTGCCAGGGCTGCGGAGGCAAAACCTTTCACTGGTTTTAAGGAATGGCTCCAATTGGTCCTGTGGATAAGAGTCACAAAAAGGAGGCTGAACTTAGCAAGAACCTAACACCAGTGACACATTCAGCTGAACTACACAATGGGCGCAACTCTCCTGGCAGCACTCAGCCTGACTGGCCGGGCTGGGCAGGTGGAGTGGGAGTCCTCCCCCAGCCCAAGAGGGGTTAGCTCCAGTGCTCCTCACACGGCACCAGCAGAGGCTGATGCGCTGCCAGCCCTTGTGCCCACCAGGGAATGCACCACAAATGCCAGCGCCCCTTCCCTTTGCCAGCACAAATGCCAACACAGGTCCCCATTGGCAGGGCAGCTTCGTAGCATAGGACTTGCCCTTTAAATACAGAAATTGCCATCAGTGCTAATTTCCTGTTGGCAGAGAGCATCAGGCGTTCAGCTTGATCAGATGCTGCCAATGATTTGATGAAGCAGATTTTTATGCATTCAGATGCTCCTGCAGTTGAACTTGGAGCCTCAGCAGTGTTTTCCCAGTTAGCTGGAAGCCAAAGCTCCCAGCATGGCTCTCCTGGTCACATTTTTTTGTGTGTAGCTGTGGCAGGAGGTACATGGCGCACTCGTTAGCAGGCCCTGCACCCCAGTAGTGAGGACACAAAAATTGGATTAGATGCTGCACCTCCAACTCCTCCCCTTTACCATGTTAGTTTAGTCACTCCTTTTCCTGTCTGCTGACCCTGGAGGTCTTTCCAAGGCATTGATCGAGGGCTTTTGCAATAGGACACGTAGACCACAGCCCAATTACTGGATTACTCCTGATACAGAGACCCAGGGTCCTGAGCACCTGCAACTCACACCGCCTTCAATGGAGGGCAACGCTCCCGTGTTGTGAATGGGATCTGCTTATGAAACACCAATGCGCTCTTTCTCTGGGAGTCCAAGTCTCATTCACAGGGTTCCTGATCGCATTATGAATGACTGTCATTTACTACATCTGTACAGCAGCTAGCACGACAGGGACCCAACCTCATTGGCCTCTAGGCTCTCCTACAATACACTCCAGCCGCCTGTGTTCCCTAGCAAAGAGCTGTGTTTAGAACTCAGAATCTCTCACTCATTGAAAAGCACTCACACAGTGACAATTAAACAAATGCTTTAAGGAAGGGAGGGTGTTAAGCTTCCCTCACCCCCCTCCACAATTACCAGCTGCTGCAAAAAAAAGTCTGTCTTCACTGGTGGAAATACCAATTACAGTATATAGGGGAAAACTCTAACAGGGATTTCTCCAGGGTTATGAAGTCACTCCGTATGAATTGTAATACCTGAGTCTTATTTGTTCAGTCAGGGAGGTAGACCGATGCAGACAGAGAACAGTCTCCACACAACAAAGAGCCCAGGACACCAGCGTGTCTTGCTTTGGATCTTTCACACTCAGTTTCAAAACTCATCCAAAATGTTCCCTTCTCCTGCAGCTCAGCACCAGTCCTGACGCAGTGGGATGAACTACGGGCTCCATCTGTCCACTTCCTGCAGCAGCCTCCCCCGGGGACTCAGACAGACCCTGCACAGCTTCTTAGCTCTTGGGATCCCAGCACAAGGCCTCGGATCGCCTACGCCGGCACTAATGTGCCAATCCCCAGGGTTTCATAGAGACGCCTAAACTGGCTTTCGCTTTTACTAACAGAGTCTTGTCCTCTATCCTTAGGGCTTCTCTATTTCAAAGGTTAACCCTTTGGAGACTGTACACGTCAGTATCAACCCTGATTACACAAAGGTCCTGGCCAGCGTCCCAAACTGGGGCTTGGGATAACGGCGCTGAAACCCTGCCCCTGCTGAGTTTAGGAGCTCCCCAGAGCACCCCCAATCTTTGTTTAATCAGGAACTTCTTTAAGCAGGGTGCAAATGACTAGCTAGCCCCATGGCTGAGACCCTGGAAGCGTCTGCTAGGATTATTCCCAATTTCTCTAGGAAAAACACTCACCCTTTTCCACGCTGCACTCCTGGTTAAAATGTTTCTGAACTAGCAGGTCATATTCATGTCCTCATCTCTCTCTGCCTCCTCCGGGTTGGTTTCGCAGCAGGGCCTGGCCCAGCACAGTCCATACACAGCTGACAACTGCAGCAGCTGGAAAAAAAATCAACACCTTACTGTTAGTTTCTTGGCAGCCAAGAGCAATCCCGAAAGAGACCCATTGAGAGTCAGAAGTTCCAGTTATCCCTGGAGCGATTTTAGCCTTTGTGCATGTAAAACAGCTGCATTGTTCTTGGCTATGCAATGCCACTGCCCCCGCCCTGCCCAAAATGCTGTGCCATCCACCTGCCACTACTCCACTTCGGGTGACGCGTGCAGTCTTGAATGCTGTTGCATCTGTTGCCATGTGCTTTCCCTAGGAGATGTAAACACCATTTCTTCATTTAAAACAAACCAAGCACAAGCGGCTGCATAATGAATGAATGTGTGCACCCTGTCATTAGGACCGGCAGTGTACTGGCCACAGAGGGTTTGTTAAAACACACAACTTGCATTTCCATGTAGCTCGCCCCTCCACCCCCCACCCAGTGAGGAGCGTAACCTGTCCTGGAGGCAAAGGAAAATGCCACTGAACTAAGAATTTTGGTTCTTTGAGGTAACCATCCCCACTGAAGTGCTGCTCACATTTCACAGGCTCTGCCAGCATCACTCCCACCTGTGCTGGCTCTATGCAACTCTTCCAGTCACGGATGGGGAACCCTGAGCATCGCAGCTACCGTGGTGCAGCTGCTGCTCCTACATTGCTCCTGTTGCCCACCCTGGCCAAGGGTCCCTCGGCACCCTGGGCCCTGCCCTGGGGCGTTTGACACATGGATTTTTAATCTGCTTCACTTTGCTAATGGGGGACCTCCTCACCACCCGCAGACTGGTTCCTGCTGCATCAGCCCTCCTGTGCTGCCTCACTCCATGCATGGCTGGGAGCACAAACTTCCTCTCCCCTCTGGCTCCCATTCACTCTTTTTTGTTGTTAAAATTCTCCAGCAGGACTTGAACCTGCAGTTCTGAAAGGGAGCTCCTCATGGAATCACCAGTCCCTAGTGCCCCAGCACTGGGCAAACCTGCCTCCACAGGGTCTTGTGGGGAGGTGGAGGCAGCCACTGAGCACCACTGGCCCAGAAACACCAGGCAGGTCGTCACCTAACAATCACTTCAGACAGAAGTACCACAAAATAACTTGCCTAAGGCAGAAGCAGAGCTGGGAAGGGAACCCTGCAGCCCCAGCTTCTGGTGCCCTGCTCCAACCATCAACCCACTCCCTGCAGCCTAAGGCAAATAAACTGGAAGGGCAGCTGTAGCTTATCTTTCCTGCGCTGTCTTCAGACCCACAGCCCCGTCATTCTGCACAGATGCTGCTCCACGTAATTACTTACTACAGAGTGGTTCGTCTCCGTAGTGAGTCCAGATCCCCGTGTGATTGTATTGCTCGCCGAAGTAGCCTGCAGCACTCACCCCATTATACTCTCAAGGCTGCTGAGTTTCTCTGCCTGGAATTGTTGAAACACCGATAGAAAGAAAAGCCTTAATTAAAATCAACACCTCGTCTGTCTCCTGAAAACTGGGTGATGGACAGGACATGAAACCAAGTGAAATGGAGCCTTTGCAATTGTTAAAAGGCACAACTAAGTGCCGGGGAAACAAGATTGGACTTGGTGGATTAGTAAACACTTTCTATACACTGCACATCAAAGCCAGGCTCCGCTAGGCAATGTAATAGGCAACAGAGTTGTTATCCTAGCACAATGGCTTGGGTGAACTCACAAGGATTTTCTGCCCCCATCCCAACTACACAATCTCCAAGACTAAGGCCATGTCTACGCTAGAGTTTACAGTGGCACAACTGTACCAATGCAGCTGCGCCGCTGTCAGATCTCGTGTAGCCGCTCTGTGCCGACAGGCGAGAGCTCTCCTGTTAATATATTAATCCACCCCCGCCGAGCGGCGGTAGCTATGTCGGCGGGAGAAGGTATTCACACCCTTGAGCGACGTACGTGATAGTGTAAACATGGCCTTAAACATACGACAACCACGCTACACTTCACACAAGCTCTTCTGCTACAAACCAGATTGCCCTTGTAGGAGGCCAATGCCTAACACTGCCCAATTGCAATCCGTTCCAGCCCACAGACAGAGGCGGATGAACATCGTAGGCACAGGAATTCAGACTTAGTACCTCCCTCTTCCTCACTAGGAGAAAATGCCCAACTCGGCACTCAGTTACACCAGCGTACATCCCGAGTAACTCAACCAGCCTCCGTGATATTATGCTACATTTACCACCAACCTGTCAGAGTCAAACATTTATGTTCTAGGTGAGGCCTCTGCCAGGGCAGGGCCCCATCGCACTGGGTGCTGCACAAACAGCCAATGACAGGCCCTTCCCCTTGGGTGTCTCAGTGCTAAAGCCACTGCAACAGAGCAGAATTTGGTCCTGTCGTACCTTGCAAGAGCGACGGGGAGTCTCCCAGAAACACTTCAGTGTTGCTAGGAGCTTTTTGCTCCCCTGCAGCCCTGCTGAGATTTGATCTCCAATCCAGCTAGCCATTGAAGAGCAATGCAAGCCCTTGTTCAAAACATACCAGGCTCTTGCTTCACCCACTCTGTACCCGGGGGACACACACACGGGGTCCAGTCCTGAAAGGCGCCGAGTACCAGCGACTTCCACTGAACTCAATGGGAGTCGCTGTGCACAGCGCCTCTTAGGATCAGGCCCACGAGGAGGATCCCGCTCAGGC